GCACTGCTACTAAATTAACGAAGGAGAACAAAGACAAGCAGCAGTGGGGAGGACTGGACAGAACTTCTATTATTGTTCCTCATCCAGGGACGGATCATTATGACCTACTATTCAGACATAAAACCCAATAAATCTCAAGCTTGGGCTCTCTAGATCAGTGGAAATTTGCCACTGACATTAATGGGAGTAAGATCAAACTACATATAGTGAGCATGTTTCTCAGGAAAAGTCAGTCATCTGAAATTTCAGTATAATTTAAGAGAATGAGCCAATTCACAAAGAGAATATTTCCCAGTTAGGCTCTGCACCTCCAGTATCAAAGAAAGCTTTGTCAATGATTTGTGTAAGCTCAAGCTGGCATCTGAATAATTACATTACCATGGGGGCAGTTCACAGCTGGCCAGCAATAGGGCAAATTTGTCCTTCAGTTACAGCTCTGCAACTGCACTATAGTCAATATAACCCAGTCACAAACCACTTGCCAAAACTCCTTGGGACAATTGTGGTAAAGACTTACGTTTTGCTGTTAAAAATAAATAAATCGATTTGCAATCCAATCATAGGAGAACCAAGGCCATGCTTTTCAGTGGACATGCCATAATCAGACTCCTTGCATAAACTTAACATCTAATGTTTGCTTATTACCCTAGCTCTCATTTTAATAGTCTTAAACCGGATGTCAGAGCAGTCTGGAAATAACCTCTGTGCTCCAAGATAAGCTGAAACTGTGAACGAATTTGCAGACTCAAAAGCCCTCATCACTTGGGGCTCATGTTTGTTAAATTATTTGCCAGCTGCTCTGATAACCCTGCGTTCAGTGTGTGTTACACATATCTCCCCCTGTGCTTGACAGGAGAAGATATAAATTGGCTACAGCGACAAGCGAGCAGATTTGGTCTGTTTGCTCAAGCTGTCACAGCTGTGCTCTTAGATGGGGTGGTTCTAGGTTCAATTCCCAATGATTCCTGTTAGGAGGAAAAGACATCTAACGCTGATGAGCGAAATGGGACAAGGACGCGGCAGCACGTGGTACCTTTGTTCTCCTTAGTGAGCTTATCAGCCATATCCCAGTGCTCGTAGCTCCGCAGGACGTTGTTGGTGATGTTGACGTGGCTGGCGGCCATGTGGTGGATGCGCTGAGGGATGGTGATGGTCCCCGCCGAGGAGGAGCCAGCTGTGCCCACACTGCTCCCGGCAGAGCTGGCTGGGGACGGGCTGAGGGACATGGGCGATGGCGTTTCTGTGCTCCTGCAAGAGGTGAAAGCAGAGTGAGTCCCACTCAGGCATACTGCTTACCTTGACCTCATGGAAAAATTAACTCTGCACCCCAGCTGGAGGAGAACATGCAGTTGCATCTCCTGGTTTTACAAGACAGGACAGCTTATGAACTAGGGCTGACTGAAAATAAAAAGAGATTTAATTCTCCCTACAAATGAGTCTGTTATTTTTAAAAAAAAAAATACATATATATATCTATGATAAAAATAGAGCAATCTTTCAGAGAAAGAAGTATCTCATAGCTGTAATGATTTCTCTACCTGCTGCCAGAAGCTGCTATGGCAGTCAGAAAACACTCAATGTGCAATATTGGCTTATTATCAAAGCATTTTGTGGAAACCACAATGACAGTTTGCTCCAAATACAGTCACCACAATAAGCAAAGTGCAAGTCTTAAAGGCACCCTGCAGGGCAGTATCAGGAGCTGAGGGTACTGTAGGATTATGAATATCTCTATAGGATTCTTTAAGACTGGCCATGGAGATTTGTTTCTAATTGCCTAAAGTTCATCTGCACAGCTTTATACAGAGCCATGTTTTAAGTTACCTACTTATTGCAGCACTAATGTTCTAATATAGATTTTCCTTTAATTCTAACACCAGCAATTAGGAATCACCTGCTGGCTGCAGGCAGTGCAGAATTGAGCACAGCAATCTCATATCTTTAGAGCTGTGCAGTGCTGAATGCTCACATACAGCTGCTCTCTTTGAAAATTGGTTTCAGAGAACAAGATTATGGGTTCCAAAAATCTCTTCTCTTGCCCTCATTTGGAACCACTTACCTAAACAAATGCATTCGATTTGCTGTGAAATACACTTCGGCCAAGATGCTCCCGGCGCTCTCTGCATGAAGCAAAGATGCCCAAACTCCCTGGACGGGGATGTCCTGACCCTTCTTGAGATGGGCGGTCACTGATGCTCCATGCCGGACAACAGCACAGAGCTCACCCAGTCTCGCTATGGACCCCGTCCAAACTCCGGAATGGAAAGGCTCCTCTAGGCTTTATAAGCCACCAGTGATGGTCACAGACATGAAGCATGGGCATAGAGCTGTGATATGACACCACGTAGGTGCTATATGACAAAAAAAGTCTGCCACCCATGGCATATCCCTGGGCTAAAGGGCATTTCTGACATCAGCTTTTGCTGCAGATTTTCCAACTGTTTTCCTACTAACCTCTGTGTTCAACAACAGGCTCCCCAAGATGAGATGCATCCTTTTTCCAGAGCTAGAGACCCCCACAGAAAAGCTGAGCTATCCTTGATTAGGTCTGGGAACGGTTAAAAATCATAAAGTATCTGGGGGGACCAGGAGTATTTTGTTAGAGCCACTTACAACAAGCTGACGCACTTCTGCCAAATAAAGCACATTGTTCATTGGATTTACCCTGTTGTGCACAGCCATTATTACTGTGGTGAGTCTATTAAATCTCTCTATTTTGTGCTTTCTGTCGCTAGAGGTGGGAAACATTTCTGTAATGAAACCAAGGAAAATTTGTTTCATTGCCAGCCTGGAACTTGGGCCAACTTCAGAGGTTCACAATCCTTTCAAACAAAAGTGGCCAGAAATTCCAGTAAGCCAAGCTGAGAATTTTGATGATTTGAGATCTTCAGCCAGATGACACTTTATAGCAATGGATAAGTTTTGCTTTGTTCAAAAAAGATTTGAGAATATCCTGCTGTTGCCCCATCTTGAACCAGACTGCTGATCAGTCTCCAGCAGGGCCATACCCTTGTGGTGTTTGGGCTCCTCTTTGTGGTATGACTTCTCTTACCATCTGGTATGAATTTACGGTGGAAATATGAGGAAACTCTAGACCCAGTAGCCCTGGTGACTGCAGCACATGTGCTCCCCACTGCAGCACTGGGCTCACAGCAGTCCTTGAGGCCACCAGGACACGCCTGAACTATATGTCAACTCTCTGAGCCAGCTGGATAGCTTTTCTTCTGAGACTCCTGACAGAGGCAACAGAAGGCCTGGGTATGGACTGTGGTCTCTGTCTGCGGGTTCACAGGTGTGTCATGATAATGCTGTTATAACAAGGCCTTGTCATACTTAGTTATTCTTACATGCTAAGTGCTTCCTCCTCTGAAGCAAAGAGGGAGACGTGCACTTCCAAGCTGTTGGACCTTTGCTTCCTTATCTCTCAAGCTAGCAGGAAGACACTGCAAGGGTCATGTAGAAGTGATGCTGACCCAAATGCTGGGTTTCAGCTGCCTACTTTGTAGCTGGACAAGAATTTTCTCCTCCAGTCAGATTCACTGACTGTAAACCCTGGGCACCTAATCGGTTCTTTTGAATAACATAGGGAAGATGTCGTCACCTGCAGAACACACACGCTGTGGGGCTGCATTACAGGATGGGAATAAAAAGATAACTAACTTTCCATGACAATGTTAGTATAAGCCACTCCTTATGGAAAAAGGAAAGAGTTGTAATGGACCAGTGGTCTACTCTGGCATGGGAAACACATGTAGACTTTACTGGAGAGATACAATATGCTATTGCAATACAAGGTTTCACCAAAAATCTGGCACGATATTGGGTCATTTAATTTAGGATTTATTTTTCCAATGTTAAAACATTTTGTCTTTTTTTTTTTGTTTAGAAGGGTTTTTTATTTCAGCTTTAGTTTGTGTTATAATCTCTACTCAACTGCATTAAAAAAGCACATTAAAACAAAATATTTTGAACAGTATTTGGGAAGAATTTTCCTCAAACAAAATGCTAGAATTTCTGGTTTTGCACTTCTTCAGAACAAATGCTGTTTGAAAACTTAAATTTTGTGCTAAACATCTACCACTTCTACAGTTCTATTAACCTATTTCCCTATTTGGTTCCTCAGAAGTCATACAGTCATCTCTTTTTATAGATCTCTAGAAACAGACCATTTAGTAATGGTAAATTTCACTTAGAATTCTGCCTGCTCAAATAAAGAAGGAAAGAAGGGTAAAGTCCTTCTGTTTTATTTTATCTGTATGTGTGACCAGAAGAAAGGAGCAAGAAAGATGTGTTAGATGGCAATAGATGTGGCCAGATAAAAGGTTGCAGCAGCAACTCACCTCTATTGAGAGTAGCTCATAATTACATTCCTTCGATTTCATATTTAGGGTGAGGGTGCTTTAACATTAATATAAAGCCTCTGACTAAGTACCTTCACATTTTCACCACTATTATGTCTTCAGTTTTATTAAACTGCACTTCTCATATATCAATGAAATATTCATTGGTCTTTCATTACTGAACAAATCATTGAAAAATCATTGCAATGAAGGTTAACTTTACTTTGGCTTCCTGAAATGACATAGTACTGGCTAGCTAATTAACAGATGTTTTTACGGCCTTCATTTGGCCTGAGATGCAAACTGTCAAAGAATTCAGTGTAGACCTACCAGAGCTTGTGGGTGCTCTGCATAAAGATAAAGGTGTGTTTCAACTCTTCTTTCCCATCCCCACACCAAGCGGCTCACACAGGTACCTAATTTAGCCTGGTGGGAACCCCTCATCCTCACAAGCCCAAGGCAGCTGTATTGACCATGAACCCCTAAAGTCAGTTCTCTAGCCCAGAAGAACATTTTTCTACCTGCTACATAACTGAAACATACCTGTAGCTCCCATACCACTCTGTCAGGGCCAGGCCTTTGCCTTTAAAAGCACCAAAACATTTTCCCCCACCCCCTGGAACCGCTTGTTCCCAGACAGAAGTATTTAGTAGAAAATACTCACTTTCCATTGCCGCCCCAAGGTGAGGGTGCCTGTGAGGCTTTTGAAGAGTTCTGCAAGTACAAAACCAAAGGGTAAATAAAGGAGATGCAAGGAGGGTATAAACTACATGAATACTGACTATGCAAGGCTCAACACTCCCTGTTTCAGCTGCAAGAGCTACAGGGTGTATAGCAGAACAGCCTAGCATTACAGTCTCCTAATAAAATGACTGGTGGGTGGTTGGTAGGTTCCAACCAGTTGCATGAAAATCACTTGATGAAAGGGAGAATATAGCAAAGCCCCAGTAAAATCAGGTACAGTTCACAAAGAAGTGCTTTAATGACCCTTCTTTAAATTTTATGCTACAAAGTAAGCTCTTCAGAGTGCAGATGACTTTCCAACTTCAGGGGGAACTGCACATTTTTAATTAGAAACAAACAAAAAAATGGGTTGATGCCTTAAAGAAAGGGTGCATTTCCCCCAAGCTGCCCAAGAAGGTGACTTGCAATTCTGATAGCAGGAGAAATAAAACTTCTTGTAAGGATTTGCCCGAATGCCCTTGTTTTCATGTATTTTATTTGCACGAACACTCTCCTTACCTGCTTACTCATTGTACCATTCAGGCCTGTGTATCACCTTGTATAAGCCCGTACAAAAAGATTGCCCACCAACGATAAGGCCCAGATTTTTTCAGTCTTGCTCAGACTGGATGGTATCTTATTCGCTGACAGTTCCCATAATAGGTGGTAGTATCAGGACTGAAGATATCTACGGGTGCTTTTCAAAAACAATCAGTCTGAGCTCTCATGCAGATGTCAGCACACACAGTGAAAATTTAATTTAATTTTATAAGTTCTCTGCAAACTATTATTGCAGGATTCATTTGACTATTGTCATCGATGTTTTGCATATAGGGCACAGAAATTCACTGGAGGAGTTAAGTGCACGGCCCAAGGTCATGCAGCCAACTCAGGGCATAAAACCCTACCCTTGATGTTTAACACATAGCCAAAATTGCCAAATGGTATTGATCAAAGCAGAAAACGCTGCCCAAACCCAAACAGTGGTCTTGCCTCTATGTTTCTATATGGTATGTCACTCTATTTCATTACAGTGAGCATAAACTGGAAAGTTTTGGAGTAGATAGCACGTATAGTGTATGTTTTTGGCACGTACTGGTATGTAAGAAGTAGGGAGATCTTAAAGGTCTAGAAGGTCTTTAGGGATGAAAAATCTTTGCTTTGACATTAGCTCCCACTGTCTGGAGTGTGTTCCAGCGAGTATCTGGGGACATTATCTGAAGACTAGAGGTAGATATCTGACCATGAGAATATTTGATTTTTTGGGGGTGGGTCATAGTCAAATTGACAACGTATTTTTGAAAAAATAAAAATTTTCCTCAAAGTTATAGGTGAAGTGAATCAATATATGTCGGTTTTGCCAATTTTAAGAAATTTAAACATTTATCTTTTTGGTTATGTTTTATTCCAAGTTGTCTCTAAATTTCAAAGCTATTTTTATGATTAAAAGGTTAGCTTTTATTGTGAAATGTCAAAAATATCAATTTGAAACTTGGAAATTAATCAAAACCAGCCCTGTCCCAGGAATGGTTTCAATTTGGACTAAGTGGCATTTGTGAGGAAAAACAGGAAAAACAACTATACCAAAACATTCCTCTCCAGCTCTGCTGTAAACAGCAGGCTGCCTTTCACAGTTAAAATTGTGCAAAACTTTGAATAACAGCTCTATTAAAATAGTTAATCCATTTCATTTGTATACAGATCCTTGCTAGTGAACCCAGAGAATATCATGCAGCAATAGAAAACTAATATGCAGTTAATAGCTCCCATTCTTTTCTCTCTCCACCCCATGCCTTTATTACAGAGATCTTGAACATATCATCCATATACACTCATTATCAACATATAATCCATATACACATATTTCTAGCACATTACTTAAAGTGGCCCATAGCATATACACAACAACATTTATCAGCTGAAATATTTAGCTTTAACTGGAAAACCTAAAAATAGCATTTCTAATTTGTCTATGTTACTACATTTTTAAAAATTTGCTCTTATTTTCATTAACATTAAGACATGTTTTCTTTGCAAACACAGTAAAACGGTCTTCTACTGGGAACAGTAATATGTTCTTCGTTATATCTGATATGTTCTTCCTTTGCACTGCTTGAGAGGGTAAAGTGGCTTTAATGGAAGAGAGAATCACACGCCAACTTCTTTGTTTGTCTCTTAAGAAAGGCATTTTTAAGAAATCACCTGCTTTCTGCAGGTGAAGTATATCAGATGATTTGCCTAACTGTCATTTTTGAAAAAGACAAATTCACCCTGGATTAAATCTGAAGCAAACAGAACACATTTTACGAAATGCTGAGGCTATAAATGTGTCTGTAACTCAAGTTTTATTTATCCTTGTGCAAAGCCCTGACTGAAAACCCACTGAGTCAACAGATACTCCTGATGACTTCAGAAGAGCTTCAATTTAAGCAGAAGACCAGCAGTAACGTTACTGAAGTTTCTCAGATGCACGCACAGTTACGTATACACACAGAGAAGTGAAGTCAAGGCTGATGTGGGTTGCTGACAAGATGGTACCAGAGTTTTACAGCAGAACAATCACTTTATTACCATTTTACATGGATGGAAAAAAATAAGAAAAAAAGGGCACAGCTTTAAAAGCTTTACAGGTTTCTAGTACTAATATTTCAAAGCCTGGACCGAACTCACAGAGGCTGAAAACAAAACAACAGCCTCTGATAGGCTGACAAACCAGTATAATTACATAATTATAGAATAATATGTAGTAATCAACTACAAGAATTGATGTATCATTCAAATACAGCATTAATTAGTATAATATAAACATCAAAACCATTGAAAGCCGAAGAAAGATTCTGTTTCTCTCAGTTTAGGCACAGCACATCATGTTCTTGAATTAGATAAACAGCATTTGATAAGGTAAAGTAAAACATCACCTTGGCCTGACACTCAGCTGATCTCCACTCGTTTCAAGGTAAATGAAAACTTTCAAGGTGTAGACGAGGCAATTCGAAGTTCCACAGAAATAAAGGAGAACGCTAAAGGCTGCTCCTTTTGAGCCCTGGTTGCAAGGCACCAGACTTATGCTGGAGATAGCTGAACTCAACTAAGAAGAGTTCAAGAAATCTCTCTTGCATAAACATTACACAGCATGGAGAATACTGTTATTTTAGTAGAATTGCGGAGTATGGTCTTCTGAATCAAGTGGCTAATCCAAAAATCCCCCAACTCACTCCTGTCCCCACCCTCTTACAGCCATCCTGCCTGCATTTCCCAGGGCTGAGGTTAAATATGGGACTTTAAGTCATGCAGTTATACTTGCAAGAGCCCTCAGCGCTGGCACGAATTGCATTTTGCATCAATAAATTACACAGAATAAGGATTACCTTAAAATATTCCATCAGAGATCTGGAGTACTTCATAGCATGGTCCTTCTTTAGCTTAAACATTCTCAAGTAGAGAAGTGATAAGCATCGGTAGCTGTGGTAATTAGGAAAGGATTATGTTAATTCCATTGCTTAATGAAACCTATAAACTGGAAAAAAAAAAAAAGCTGACCTATATTTTTCAGTTTCTTTTCTAAGGTTAGATTGTGAAACATAAGCAAATGGAGAAAAATGAAAAAATGGTCAGAAGCATTAAAAACCCATCTTGATAAGAGTATAAATTAGAAGAATAAATGTTTAGTCAGCTGCTGAAGAAATCCATTAGTTATCCTTTAATAGTTTAATGGAAAACAAGAATAATGATCTTCTGTAAGCTGCTTAAGTAATTCAGTAATTTTAAAGTCCTCCTTAAGATTTTAGCTGCTTCTCTTTCTCACAATGGGACTTACCATAAAACTGCTAGTTTCTTGTCCCCTTCTGTGGCAGAAGAGCCTGTGAAATTCTTGAGTCTCATTGCATACCTTGTCAGAAAGGTAAGGAGAGAAGACAGTGGGAGTTAAGGTGGTTCCATGAGAATTGACACTCTGAGAAATAACAACCACTCATAGATATACCTCTCGAGCACAACAGTTAATGATCACATTGCTCTGTAACGATAAGATCAATGTCACATTCAACAGAAAGCATCACTTAAAATCCAGAGGATTAAAGTAAATCATCAACCCATGTTCTGGGCCAATGAGGTGCACTATTTTTGAAAGTGTTAATGATGTTACATTCAGTCATCTGAGTCTAGCAACCTTTGTGATGAGTGTTGAGAGAAGCGTAAGATCTCAGCCCTGTACTACTGAAGAGTAGAGTAATATATAACAAGATTTTACACATAATACTTTGGGCTTGAATAATATCTTCAAAATCCTTCTCGTAAATGCTTCTCCAAACCTTTTAAAGTGTTTTTTATAGAAAGTGGTTTTAAATACAGGAAGGGTCATGTTCACAGCTTTTTAAGTTCTTAGGTCCATTAGTTTCTGAGGCTTGTATACTTTGTCTCCCCTCTCTTATTTAATTGCTGCTGTCCAGCATTTGGGTGATCAAAGACTGAGTATTCCTACTTCCACCCTCTTTTTTTCCTTTAACGGAGCACACTCCAATCCATGCATTAACTCTCTTGAAAATCAATTCATCGCATAAAATCATTGTTCTGAGCCGTAATGCAATTTCACAGGTACTCGTGTTAGAATAAGTAATAGAGTTCATCGTTGCATAAGAAAGTTTTAAGGTATCCAGGCAGCCTTGATGAGTTCTCATTTACATGCAGATAATGCAGTGCAGGCAGGCTGTGCTGCTCTTGCACTGCCTTCATCCCACCACCGCAATCACCAGTCCGTGGCTTGCGTTGGTAGTACACGACCTGATGCACTTCCTCCACTTCTCACCTCACCTGCTCTTCGTTATGGTTGTACCAGCCATACGGAATGAATCCCACTAAACACAAAGCTGCATGTCTCTTTGGAATTTTCAGTATCAGGCTAGGGAATTCTAGTCTTAACAGTTAACCTCAACACCTTTGGCAGTCAGATCCCCGATACTGCCAATCTCTTCGATGCTCCACTTGCTTTCACAAATAGGTGTATGAGACAGATACTCAGGGAAGCCATAGCTAAAGGAAGAGGGGAAATGGGGCCTCCAAAAGAGGTAGGAGTGAAAGTGAGAAAAATTTCTTCTGCTTCGTATCCAACAATAATAACCCATGTTAACATTAGCAGCTGCAATAAGAAAGGGTGTGTGCACAACTGCATGCTTAATTTGCACATTCAGCAGCCCTCACAGCCTGCAGGAATTGTATGTTTGTCCATGGAGTTTATGGAATCTATACAGCCGACTGCTTGCCTGGACAGTCACCTTTTTTGTGTGTCTGGCCACTGACAGAAATTATTTAGGCAAATCAGTCTCTCGCTACCCATGAGATGCTGAATACAAGATTTTGTAAATGAAGCTCTGCTTTAAGCCCTTAGACGGTAAGCAGTGGAACTGATCTCACCTGACTTCAGCTATGTAGAAATTGGACATTTACCCTACTGAAGTCATCCAGACTCCTCCACAGTCAAAACTTCTGAACAGACAGGCTGCTGGACTGAGGGACAAAATTATTCCACTTTGCTTTCTGGTTTTCTAAACTAAATATGCAAATAAATGGGAGTTCCTTATGAAGAAACACTCACTTCTTTAAAGAAGAAAGTTTCTACAATTTACCCTGTCGTATGACTGTACTTGTATTGCAGCACACAGAAAGCACTGAATTATCCGCTATGATACTGCAGGAATTTCAGCACAGCGGAGCAGAGATACAGGGCTCCTGTTTGTAATCCCACTCTTGAGGGTTTAACTTAGATCCTAAATGTTGAGTGAACATCATTTTCATTGAGTAATCTCTTTAGTCTTTCTCCTTCTCTTTAACAAGTGTAGAATATAAACACATGTTTTAAAATATTTAACAGGCATATTATTTATGTGAGAGTAAGAGCTTCTTAAGATCTGATACATTTTATTATGCAAATACCTACTTATTCAAAATGTAAAACATGCATTATTTTTGGCAGACTCTTAATGCTAATCTGGCATGTTAAAATCCTACACATTAAAAAAAAAAACACACCTCTGTCCTATTAAAAAAAACCAAACACTTTGGGTCTGATTCTTCTCCTTTTCGTTTATCTTGTGTAAACTGCCAGTAATTACACTGACATTAATGGTGATATTCCCCGAGTACACTGGGGAAAGCAAAAGGAACATCATGGTGAAGAGGAAAAATCCTGTTGTTTTATTCACAGGTAAATTTAATCTTGCTTGATTTCGCTTTGACAATTTGTGCAAGTAAAGCAAACAAGCTCATTAGCTACTCAGGAGACCATTCTTTCTATGGAGCCCACACTTTCAAGCAGCTACACATAACAGAAGCAGATTTTCAAACACTAACTCAGGCATTTTATTACTAAGCAAAGGTTCTCTTATCTATAATCTGGTCTAAGAGTCTGCAAAGTTGCGTTAAAACTAATTCAATGGACTTCAGCTGGTTCGCATTCCCTTAGCGCTAAAAAGTATACTTTTAAAATGTAATACATGCAAAAAAGCTTCCTCTCTGGCTATGATCTTACATGCCAAATTTCAGTTTCAAACAGTTTACAGCCAAGTTATAAACCTCTAAATACAGGGTTTGTAATAGGAATCCTGATAGACTCACTTTAATGTTTTGATTTATAAAACTACGCCTTTTAAAAATACAAGTGTCATTGCCAAACAGTCAAATTACTATACTTTACTTCCACCCACTACATTTCAATTTTAATTTTATGAATATTGCAAATTATATCACTCACATTATAACCTCTAAAGGGGATAATTTATAAAAGCAGTGTCCATCAATTATAAATTTTCCATGACATTAATAAAATGGCAAGAACTAATTATGATGACTTCTGAGATGAAGATGCCTTGGACAAATCATTAATATGTTGAAATGATATTTTTTAAAACATAGCAGGTTCTAATTATGACTGAAATGAGATTATGAAAATGATCACAGAAAGGACATTAACCTGATGAGTTCCACAGTCTCTGAGTACATGGTGTATGGAGATTTAGCTTCTAATGGATCTCGCTCCATAGCGTTGCCACACTCGATGAAGGAGAGGGCAGCATCAGCATAATTCACTGCTTTGCCGAACTTCTCCAGCTGAAATAGGAATGGCACCGTCAAGAAAATGCTTCAGCTTTAATTTCCACATAGACAGATCATAATACAAAGCAGCGCTGGCATTAGGATGAAAGTAAAGCAAAGCTGGTGGTTAAGGGTGAATGCATACAGGAATTAAATCAAGGTCTATGTTTTTACCAAATCTTTTCAGATAATGTAAGGCCAGATGCTCCACAGAAGTAAATCAATGTACATCCACTGACATCTGTGGCTTAACACAGGCAGTGAAGGATACTGAGCATGTTTAAACATGAGATCCCTATTGCTCCTCGATGTATGAACTAGGTCTGAATAGCACTATGCAAGGGTTAAGTAACAAATCCCTGCCTCTTGTCATATGTCACATTCTGTGGTGACTGCTGACAAAAAAAAAAAATCTCATCACTTATATGATGACTGAAACAGTGGGGGGAAAAGGAGGGAGAAAATATAGCACTGATAAATATTTTATTTTAGTAGGATTTTATTGCAAAAGGTTTTAGTCCTGATAATGGTTGTGATTAAACTGACTTAGACATACTGATTTCTTTTTTTATGTGTAATGAATATTATATATGACATTTTTATAGTAAGTATTTTATAATAGTATTTAACATTTTCAATTTTTGATAGCTGGATGTACAGATTCTACTAATGTGGCATTTGATATAAGAGAACCAATATGCTTTAAATCATTCAAAAATTTTTTTGTATCAAAATATTTTTGATGCATCTGCGTGTTTTCCATTCAAGAAATGGAAACCTATTCTAGCAATGTATTTAGCATAACATTTAATATTGGTGCAAGGTAACAATATATGTGACTTTGTGGCTGCTCCTACACTCTCCTTATAGCTGGCTCCCTCTGCATTCATAGGAGGCTTTTTAATTTCAAATTCTGCTCTTGCACTCCATTACAGACAAGCAAAGGTTTTGTTTGATTGATCGTTATTACTTGAATGATCAAAGAGAGGGGAGACATTCTGTATGTTTTCACTGTATTCTGCTGGCTATTCCTTAGCCTATTCTACAAATTTCTTTGGTTCAAGTCTTCCTAGGAAGGGGTGGGGGGGGTGGGGGGGAAAGATGGCTGTGGACGGATTTAGCAAGGATACCACTTTTGTTTGGGTAGGTGGTGCTCCAGCGGTGGGATCTAATCCCGGCCTCAGCACCACACTGACCCCAGCAAGGTGGGGTGGGACTACTCCAGCTCAGCACTGCGCGGACAAGCAGAAAAAAGGCCACAGAAAGAGGCCTCCAAGATCTCTTCCACGTGGCACAAGCAGTTCCCACTGGGATAGCAAGCGCACATCAGTTGATTCCTTCGTCCTGCTCCAGGTGGTGACAGGTTTGCACAGGGTCACTCACACATGATGCCAAGTGGGCTCTTCACCACAAATCCCCTTTCTGCACAAGCCCAGGCATGGCACTGCCATCTGTCCTGTTACTGTTTGCTGACACGTCCTGAGGTCACTCACATTATCCTTCCAGCCACTGTAAGGCATCTTGCACTTCCCCCTGTGCTTTCTCATGCCAGCACCAAGTAACCAGAACCAACAGTTTGTGTAGAACAACTAATGCTTTGGGATTGCACCGCAGATGTGTTACATGGAGATAGTTTGCATGCAGCGGTGTTGGGTGGAAAAAGAGTTGAGGCCTAGACAGCAGAAAGAAAAAGCAGATACTGCGTTCATGGGCATTTGTGTCTGCCAACAAGTTGTATTGCAGCGGATGGCCTTGCATGCCAAGAAGAGCACTCGGGTACCAAACTGCATGTGACAAGATAGGCCTGCCTGCAGGCGACAACGTGATGCGCCCTGCCTCTTCCTCTTAATTCTGCTCGAGAAACACCCCTGACTCGGCAGGCGTAGTCAAGGTAAGAGGACAAAGACAGGTCAACACTTTGAGTGAACCAGGCTGTGCAGAGCAGTGGATTGACACAGCACGTCAAGATCATCAGGATCTTCAGCCTGCAAATATTTGCTAGTGTGGCGCAGACAGCCCTGTGCCAAAGCATGTGTGCTTTCTGTAAAGGTCAATCAGCTGCAGGAGGTGTTGTCAGCCAGCTCCAGGGAGCCTCATCTGCACCCACGTCAGAGCTCCCCCGCACATGCTCTGCTGAGCCGACGGCAGGAGCCTCTGGGGCAGCCCAGAACAGGCACATTGGCAGGGACGATGCTACCTTATGGGAGGCTGCCAGAAAACCAGCACCCACATTCTGCAGAAAACACACTCAATAACTTTGCACCCCAAATCACAAGGGGAACCAGGAGAGCTGAAGCTGGGAACCTGACACATCAACTCCCT